GGGGTTGAGGAGCAGAAGGGGGTTTGGAGTGTGGGCTCCAGGAGGGAATTGTGGTACAGAAAGGTCTCAAGTTTAGAGCAGAGGACTGTGATGTGGGAGAGATTTTGGAGTGCAAGCTCTCGGCCATGCTCACTACTGGGCAGCTTTCCACAAGTGGCAACTTGTCCCTCAGTTTCTAAGCAGAGGCATAGTCAGGTGGCTTTATGCACTGCCTCCACTCACAGGTGCCTCCCCTGCAGCTCCCATTCACCACGGGTTCTAGTCAATGGGAGGTCCAGAGCTGGCATTCACAATGGGAGTGGCGCATGGAACCTCCTGCCCATCTTAGTTTAGGAGTCAAGGGATATGTTGCTACTTCTGGGGAGTTAAGCAGAGCCTGGTAGGGAGCCTCTCAGCCACACAAACCAGACTTTCAACAGCCCAATTAGGGGGTGCTGACCAGAGCCACCAAGGTCCTTTCATCCCACTCTCCCTACCTCTAATATCATCAATTCACAGACACTTACCTTCCTTCCTTCCCCCCCTCCCCCCCGCATCCTCCTCCTGTTCTGCAATGTGATTTGTCCTTTTCATATCTGTTCATTTTTTTTAATTGTATCCTTTGGTATATATGGTTGTGACTACTTTCTTCCACTATTTTGATCTGAGGAAGTGGGTCTGGCCCACGAAAGCTCATCATCTAATAAACCATCTTGTTAGTCTTTAAAGTGCTACATTGTCCTGCATTTTGCTTCAACTACCCCAGACTAACACGGCTACATTTCTATCACTTTTCCAACCAGGCATTCCAGTCAAAACTGGACAGCCGACAATTCTATATCTGGGGAGTGTGATTCCCAGTACAGGTGGACAAAGACACGCCAGTTCAGCTTGAAGTAGTATTCTAGAAATAACCACATAGATTTTGTAGCACTGATGGCATCTCAGGCAAGCCTGAGGGATAGCTTGGTGGTTTGAGCATTGGCTTGCTAAACACACCATTGTGAGCTCAATCCTTGGGGGAGCCATTTAGGAATCTGGGGCAAATCTGTCAGGGATTGTACTTAGCTCTGCTATGAAGGCAGGGGACTGGACTCAATGACCTTTCAAGGTCCCTTCCATATATTATTTAAGCCACCCAAGAGTACTGAGACACCATCTGTATTGAATCATCCACACTGTTACTTTCTGCATGCTATCTCAAGTTTTGAGCTACCACAAATCTGTTCACCTGATCTCAAGATCACACCTCCCAAATTTACTGCAGGTTTGCCATTGATTTCAATGTCATTTAACCACATGCATAAGCACACACTTACATGATGGGTTGAACAGAGACGGCCTTAAGCATGTGTTTAAAGTTCTTTGTGTTTAAGCAATTCACAGATTTTAAAACCATTATCATCATCTAGTCTGACCTCCTTTGTATACAAGCACAGAATTTTAACAGCTGACTATGCCCAAAAGCTAGAGTATCCTTTTTTAGAAAGACTTCCTATCTTGATGCAAAGATTTCAAATGGCCGAAAATGGATCCCATGGGATAATTTGTTGCAAATGCTAAACAAAAAGAGGTAGAGTGATCCGGTTGTTATGCTGATAGCTTGAGACGTTGGAGATTTCTTTTCCTGCTCTGTGTCAGACTTCCCATGTGACCTTTGGCAAGTGACTTAATCTCTGTGTGCCTCTGTTCCCTATCTTTAAAATGGGGACAATAGCACTTCTCTCCCTCAAAATGGTGCAATGAAGATTAAAGATAATGAAGTGCCCAGATACTGTAGTAACATGAGTAATATCAGTGCTGAAGATGGATGGAATTACCCCATGTTAAAAAATTGTGCTTGAGGAATCCCCAGACATCATCCTTTAATCTCCCCACTCCCACCGCAATATTGCACAGGGATTCAACCTAAAGAAATATTGTGCCTGACTGCTGAAATCCACAAGATGCCCTCTAGCTCTGCATATTCTTCCCTGAACCCAAAGAGGCAGAGGAGATCTGCATTTCCCACTTGTACAAACACAATGGCGCTTGTGCCTGATGGAACATAGCTGACAGCAGTACAACAGCAGGTGATTGCCAATAGCGTTGAAATTAAATCTATGGTTTCCACCCTAGAGACCACTATGACTGAGATTCAGAATGCATGGGAGGGGATGAACTCAGAACTTCAGAAGTGGAAGATGATTTCAAAGAGAACTACATACAAGTTTTGAAGAAGTGTAGTGACTATCAAGATTATTAAGATCAAGCTAATTGATCTGGACTTTCAATAATGTAACATCAGGATTGGGGTATCCCTGTGAGAATTGAGAAAGGAAAACCCTCTGAACTTGTTCCTAACTGCTAAGTTATTGAATCTGCCAGTAGATTTTGTTTTGCTATAGAATGAGAAGACCAAGCCCTTGCCCCCAAGCCCGCTCCAGAACATTGGCCTAGAACATTGCTTGTGCAGTTCTAGGTGTTAACTTTTAAAGAGATGTTATCCAGAGAACCAGCAATTAAAATACTGCTCTTTCGAGATTATGCCATGATGGGGTTGCAGCAAAAGCAGGTTTTAACCAAATAAAACAACTGGCTATGCAGATAAACTGAAAGTGTTTTTTAAATAACTGGCAATGCTCCATATTAAAAATGGCAAGAAGATAGTACCACTGAATTCCCCTCAGGAGGTAGAAATATATCTGAAAAGAATCTGCAGACTTCTCCATCCCAAGAAGAGACATCTATGCCAAGATCTTATAGAGTTTATGTATTGCTCTCTAAAATCTGATATGGCTGTTTTAGATAATGGGTGCTAATTGATATTGAAATGTTAGCATCTTTTATTAGTTGGTGCTTTCTTATCAATTAAAGTATCAAGGTTCTATTGATATTAGGTGATTACTATAGTTGTCATGTTTGGGCCCCAAAAGCTCTGGATATCCAAAGTTTACCTGATCCAGCTGCCCATCACCATCAAATGTATATTTCTAGACTGTTCAAACAGATTTTTCTCTTTGATTGTTAAGTACTGACATGATTTTCTCTCTCTACTATATTTTCCATTTTGTTTTTTCACTTATTTAATTCCTCTTCTGCCCACCTCCTGTTGCCCTCCCTGGAATGGTGGGAATTTCCTTCCCATTTCTGTAGAACATATACTGGAAAGTGATAACCAAGCCCAGGATTCTATAACTTTGCCTGCTTAGATACGCAAGAATTGTATGCTTCTTGGGAAAATTTGCAATTCCTCATTTTTCTCAAAGTGACTTTATATTAAAAGTGTCTCCTGGAATATAAATCATTTTAACAATCCTATTAAAAGAAAAACTATATATTCAATACCTGGCAATTCAAAGACAATGCTGACTATTGCTGTGCTCCAGAAGACCCATCAGAACTTGAAGAATGTAAACAGATTAAAGATTGGGTAGGCCTTTCAACTTCTAGTTTCTTAAATTCAAAATTGAGGGGGCATCAAAAGTTGCATGTTAAAACTCTAAATACAAAGTAATGAGAGTATGGGTAGATTTACTGTTTTGAAGGCTGAAACTGGGAATTTTATTATCATTTTAGCCAATCTCTATGGGCCAAAGCAGAGTAATCCCAATTTCTTTCCACAAGCTGTTCATACATATAAGTGACAAGGGTCACCATAGCATTACTTTTGCTGAAAACTTTAATACAACTCTAGACACAGTCCTTGATACATCTTCTTCATCTAAATATAAAAAGATGAATATTAATGAGATACTTCATATACACATGGCTGATTTAGGTTTACAAAATGTGAGAGATTATACACAGGATTACTCAGAGTACTTTTTTTCCTACAGTTTATTCAGCATATTTAGGATTGGGTTATTTCTTGGTGTCACTAGACTTGATCAATTCTGTCACTGATTGTGGCATCGGTACTATTGTTATATCCAACCGTGCTCCTACACATATATCTTT